CATACCTATGAATATTATATTCTACTTCCGCCAATAGATCCTCCTCAATGTTACACACTGCACCTTTAATTTAACAAGACTGTCCCATTAAATGGTATGCCTTGATAATTAATAGCTATAATAACATAAAAATTATTCATGCAGCTATCTTAGCTGTGTTATGTCCAACTTATCTTGTAGCCTAACAGTATGAGTATTTCCACACATGTCTGCTTTATTTTCTGCTCCACAGGAAGCCAGCAACACTTCTTCTCTCCTCCTCTACTGTGAACAGCTGATTGGCTGCGAGAACAATTTATGTGATGTGTGAATTTTATAAAGTGTCAGCCACTGAGACCTGAGGACTCGGAGCTTGAGGTTTCCTGCTCTACTATAGCTGCAGTATTAGACAGACGAGTGGCTCCATCTTGTGGTAACCAAAAAATCTGAGTCTGAGTTCATCCTAACAAATAGAAACTGTACAGTTGCAGTCATTCGTTGGTGTAGATACATAATTATACATGCTGTAGACCATTTGCAGTAGCATTAGCAGTAGATCTGCCACAGTAATAAACCTGCTAGTAGTAAATAGTATGTGCTCATCCAGAGGGAGCAAACTCATGCTGTACCTTGCCTGAGTTTGTGAAGATGTAAACATGATTACTTGGCTTACAAAACATAAAAGTAAAACCCTTTCAATCCCTACTGTCTGATAACAGGAAATGTACTTTAAAAGATCAGATGTCTGGATTGCTGTTTTGAAGGATGTAAAAATATTTTTTTCCCCAATTTAAATGCTTAAAAATGCCAATAAATAAATAAATACAAAAAATGGTAACACTTCATTATAACCCAGAATATGACTTTGCTGTATCAGGTACCAATAAAGTACTTAATGGTCCCTACTGGTTCTTAAAGAGGCTACAATCGATATAATCAACATTATATTTAAAATGACATGACATGCATCAAAAGACAATGCACAAACAATATGACAATGTGACATGGGTCACTCCTAGCGATGAACCTAGAGAGAAAAAAATCTCTAAAAATCCACTGTACACTACCTGCTCAACACCGTCTAACAGACAGTTCGAGACTAGCTGGTGAACATAACGGAGCGTCAGCGGCTACAAAGCCAGAAGATTCCCTCAGGAGTTGGTAGAGAACAAAATCAGAGCTAAAAGAGAGACTATATTGGACTATTCTCCAAATGAATGATAACGTTGCTCTGAAACTGCTGGATGTGAATAGGCAACTGTTAGTTATTTGCAGGTTTAAGGTTATAGATGCAGGACAGATGCAGATGACAAACAGACTGTTACAGTACTGCTGATTGACTGTATCACTACTGTTCAGTTTCTGCAAACAACCACTAGATGATGCTACTGTTTTTTTTTTTAGATAGATAGATATTCCTTTATTTTGTCCCCACAATGGGGAAATTCCAATGTAACAGCAGCAAAGTGGAGTATAAATAAACAGTAAGAGTAGGGAAATAATAAAAACACTATGTACAAGAGAAAAAACAGTGAGAATCCACAACAACAGATAAAACAAATAGTAGCAGCAGTTGCACATGGCCAATATATTGCACAGTAATTATTGCACATTATCTCACATTATTATTATTATTGATGCATTATTATTATTGATGATTATTGATGATTTCTAACACAAACAGACAGGTCACAGTCTGTCTATTGTGTGTGTGTGTGTGTGTGTACTCACTCTGGACTGCCACACCAGTCTGTAAGGGTTACAGTGTCCCAGTCTCTCCATGACTCTCTGAACTGTGGCTCCCACTTCCTGAGGATAAGGGTCCCCTCTGTTTACAACCTGCACACAGTACACAGCAGTAGAACTGTCAGTAGCACTACTAGTAGTACTGATAGTATCTTTACCAGTAGTAGTTTAACAAGCAGAAGGAACAGAAGTAGCAGCAGTAGTAGCAGTAGCACTGATACCATCATCAGCATAAGTAGTTGTCCATTTGCAGTAGTAGTATACATTTTTGTGTGTACAGTAAACAAAAGAATCCAGTATGAAGTTTTGATAAAGCATCAGACTGATGAGCAGCATGAATAAGCATAGCAGTATTAATAAAGTCTTAATGATAAACATCCCTGTTGTAACCTGGTAGTATTGGTAGGATGTGTATCAGTAGGACTAGCAGCATCAGCAGCATCAGCAGTGTTATCGTTAGTATCAGCACTAGTGCTTACAGCCATAGGGAGCGAGTGTGCTGAGAACAGAATGACAACGTCGTCCCTCTTCTCTTCCGGAAACTTCAGCAGCTCGTTACTGATGTGTTCTGCAAAACACTAAACAAACACACACACACGCACATACAGAGTGAACATTTGTTGTATTTCATGTATTTTTCGACAATCTCGAAATTATAATTTTCCTCAACCATTAGAAAGTTACAATTAGAAAGACTGACCTCTGTTGAGATCTAAAAATGCTGCACGCTTGATAGTTACTATGATTCACAACTGTGGCAAGCAATATAACACAATATAATATAATATAATATAATATAATATAATATAATATAATATAATATAATATAATATAATATAATATAATATAATATAATATAATACAATATAATATATAATACAATATAATTCAATACA